ACATGCTCACAGGATCGCTGATGCAAATCAGTGGATATGAACAATAAGCTTGATAAGCTCTTTTAAGATTTCTGGAGCAGACTCCACAATGGGGTTACATTTCCCTCAAAAACAAGTTGTAGAATGGATCACCCCAGAGAAGAAAAGATGGTGGCTGAAAAGATGGTGGCTCCAACTCACACACTGGCCTGAAAATGGCAGCTGAGGACAAGGCACTCAAAGGAAAAAAGGCTACAGTGTACCCATTGTGTGGCTTAGGTCCTTACCACTCCAAGCAACGCTGTTTCTTATGACCATGTGAAAGACTCAGATGGACTCCCATTAGCCTTCCCAATAACCACTCTATGCTTCTTTGTGCTCTTTCATGTGGGTTGTTAGGCTTGATACCAGGACCCTCATGGCAGGACTCTATGAGGCCCCAGCAGGGCAATGGTTGACCACTAAGCTGAGCAACTCTCTATCTATGGTGCATTATACCCACTATCACTACAAGCTCTGAAGGAACTTTATTTTTGTATTCAATTTGTGGGACTCAAAGCTAACTGGCATGGGGGGGCCGCCTGGGAGGTTTTGGCATCCTTAGACATTCTTAGTGCATACAGTCTGCCTATGTCTTGTTCTTTGTTTTAATTCTTTATTTTTGGTTTGCCGTCAGACAGAGATAAAGTCATACAGTACAGTATGTGGGCAAGTTGATCACCTCATGCATTGTATAAACAAGGTTTACTGTATAGATTATCTTATATGACTGTTGCTATTGTGAAGGATTATTGGTAGATACAATATGCGCTCCGACAAAAAAACATTTTTTCTTAGATATATATTAACATTAACGGACATATGCTAAACATGCAATACCATGGTGCCTTTAGCGAGGGTTGTAGGTGATCTGTTTTGTTTAAGACTGTACATCTCACCGATGTTGTTGATAATTAGTGTTGTAGGTATTAGCATAGAAAAAGAATAAAGATGGAGCAGAAACGTTTTTTAGGGGGGAAATGTTTCCGGGGTTTGAGGGTTACTGGTATAGGCCTTTGGTTGCATTCTGTCTGCATTATTTGGGATTGTCTTGTGTGTGTAGTCTGGTACACGTTTCCAGAGCGTTAGTGTTCTCCTGTTCTTGGATCTTATCTCGTTGGGGGTCATGGTTCGGGATTCTTTTTACTGACCAAGTTAACTTTATAAGCTATCCTTAAAGCACTATGCATACATTTATAAAATTAACAAAATACTACAGTACACATATAGAGAGTTTTAAGTATCTATGCGCATACTAATGCGCTTTAACATAAGACACACACATTATTATTTGTTTCCCTTACTATAAAGAATGCCCAGTCTAAATAATAAGATGCACCTCACATAACCAGCGTTACACACACAATTAGCTTGTTAGATATTAACAAAGCACTATTTATACATCTATAAAATCCCTCTCTAAGATAGGAATAATTTATCTAACACTAAAAGAATAACACAATTCACTCATAGAGAGTTTCAGGTACTTATGCGCATATTTATGCAATATAATTAATAAGAGGCACTTTAAATAATTAGTTTTTGCACAAGTTCAACTATTATTATTACACTATTTGTATAGTTAAGGAGCTTAGCATGTATATGTATGCATGAGTGCTTACATATCTGTTATTATTAAAGCATTAATTATACATACAGAAAATTTTTATACAGTTGTAAAATTCCTATTTAAGACAGGAACAACTTAACTAATTCCAACTGAGTAGCACAGATCATGTGTAGAGAGGCTTAGGTATTTACGCACATATGTATGAATGTGTGGGTATATATATATATATATATATATATATATATATATATCATGTTAGCAATATTTATTTGTTTTCTTATCTATTTACTATATTTATTATCTTTATTTCTATAAGTATATAATATATCTAACCCCCGCTCGGTATCTCTTAATGTCCTGCCCCACACTTAGCATCTTAGAATGAGATGCTTTTTTCGTAATGGTTTTCCATTGCAGAGATCAAACCTAGGGCCATTTGCCCTAAAGTTTTTACATTTGTTGAACGAAAGATGAATCAGATGTGGATCCTTTTTTGTTTTTGGTAGCTGGATGTCTTTTAATGTTTATGTATTGTTTGGCGGCAGAGCTCACAGAGTAAAAATTGATCTCAATGGTTAAAATTTTATCGGCCCATGCACAGGGGTTAAATTCACGTCATAAAAGGTCTATAGTCTTAACACATCTGACAAAAGAAAGGGTAGACATTGCTTTCCTGAAGGAAACTCACTGGAGGGAATGCAATAGAATGATTTTTAAATCTCAAAAATATCCAAAGCTGATAATGACCTATAAACAAAGCAAAGAGTCTTGCAGAGTTGCTATTCTCTTCTCAGAAATACTGCAAGTAGACATGCTCTATCAATATTTAGAAGAAGAGGGACGCTATCTGATTGTTCTATGTCTAATTACTGACATTAAATATACCCTGGTGGATGTTTATCTCCCAAATATTACTCAGACTAGAACATTAAAAAAGATTTTGGATAAAATGGAGGAAGTTAAAGAGAATATTTGTATAATCGCAGGAGATGTCAATTCTATTTTATATCCTATGTTAGACAAAAAAAAAACCTGAAGGTATTAAAGTGAATAAATGAGTCATCAAACAAGTTGAATCTTTCATTGGGCAGACTAGATGGGCTGAATGGGTCTTATCTGCCGTCACATTCTATGAACAACATTTTAAACCAATACGTGTTTGATATGGAGATTAAACCACCCTTTTGACAAGGACTATACACATCTTTCCAAAACTCATATTACTCACGGATCAATATGATCTGGGAAAACTCACTACTTATAGAGGAAGTTAAAGCATTAGAGATAATAGACAATGTATGATCAGATCATAGTATAATATATATGGAAGTACAAAATAGATATCCACTTAGTAGATCTACTTGGAAGCTGTAAGCAAAAAAACACTTACCTTATTGGCCCGCCGAAGAGCCGACAGCAGGATTTGGATGCATTAAGCATCAATGACACCGGCTGCTATGTGCCCGCCCCTTTTAAAGGGGCAGTGCAGGCACATGTCACCAGAGGAGCTCTAAACAAAAGAGCTCAACCCACTCATACCTTTTGGGGGCATGGTTATGTTAATCACGTTCCCAATCATATAAAAGCCCAGCCTGCCTTCAAATCAGTGCCCTGCTGTGGTTACTAGTGTTCCTTCTGTTCCTAGTTCTTCCTCAGCACGTTCTTGTTTGCTTCTTTGTGTTTTGACTCAACTTTCCATTGACTCGTCTGATTTCTGGTTCCCTGACTCGGCTTATTCCTTGTTGTTGTGTATTTCTGTATTCCTTTGACCTCGGCTTGTCCCTGACTCCTCTAACCCCTCTCAGCCCGGCCATTCTAAGGACCGGTATAGGGGCTTTCTCTATCTATCTTTGTGGTTCTGGTGATATACACTCTGCGTGTTGGGCATATTCATTACAGAAGCGTAATGACTTTCTTTTGAAATATAAAAGCAATTATGAATATCTGAAACAGAAAATTGTATTTATTTTTTAGATAATAATTTGCAGGACACTTCGCTAATTAATAATTGGTGTGCTTTCAAGGCTTTTATGAGTGGACATCTCATTAAGCTTCAAAGTAAATGTAAGACTCTTCCTACAAAAAAAATCCTAACTGAAATAACTCAAGCCCAGAATAAAATTAAACAGTGTTTGTTAGATCGAATAATAAAAAAGTTAGAAAAATTATAACTTAATTATTACTATATGGGAAACAAAGCACATAAATTGTTAACCAAGAAATTAAGAAAGAAACAAACAAGTAACCGAGTATTTAAATTAATTGATGTAACTAATACGTATATAAATCCCTGAGATATTCTTCTTTGTCTGAAAATCAAAAAGCTTCTTTAACCCCTTGAGGACCAAACTTCTGGAATAAAAGGTAATCTTGACATGTCACACACATCATGTGTCCTTACGGGGTTAAATAGACCGATTTCTGCAGAGGAGATACAGGCTTTAATTACCCAGCTAGAAAAATACAAGACCCCTGGTCCCGATGGATTTATCAACCAATTCTATAAATTATACAGTCATAAAGTTATTGGAGCTATGGTTTCAACTCTTAACAGCATCATTCAAACAGGAGAATTCCCAGACAAAATAACTAGAGCCAATATTATAACCAATTCTAAAACAAGGGCAAACCCCCACAGAGGTTGTAAACTATTGACCAATATCATTAATAAACGTCGATGTAAATATCTTTACCTTAGTTCTATCTAACAGACTTAAACCTTTGATAGAATACTTAGTACATCGGGACCAGGTAGGTTTTGTCCCATGGCAGAAATTCTGCAACAAATGCCCAAGGCTGGGCTAAAAAGAGATGCCTTCCCCTCCTTCTCTCTCTGTCACTGGATGCCGAGAAGGCTTTTGACAGAGTCTGGTGGGATTTTATGAAGGCGTCTCTAGAGAAATGTAGTATACCAGGTTTTTTTCTAAGAGCAATTTTTTCCCTATATAAAACTCCTTCTGCTCGCACTATTTGACCTCATATTACTGCAGCTTGGTTCAAACTTTCTAACGGTAACAACTAATTGAATTCAGCCAAAATGAGGTACACTAAATACAGGGGGGTAACCCTAGTGGAACAAGAAAATTATAAGGTAGTGTACCTGTCAACTGGGAGAAAGGAGGTTAATGCCTAAACTTCTTAATAAATGCTTATAATATAAAAGAAGTAAAGCACTGCTAAAAAGACCTAAAGGTCAGAAAACAAAAAAGATTTAATAGTATATTCGATAATGACAAATAGTAATAAAATATGTATCTAAATGACAGCTAAACACTTGATACAAGACACAAAATAAAGATAAAAAAGATACACCGTGAAATACAAGGTGCACTCCAGTATCATGAAAAATTAATGAGAATGCTGATACCAGCTAGCGCACGTATAGATAACAAATAGATACTGGAGAGATGATGTGATATTCTAATAAACATGCGGCATAGATCGAGCCCTGAAGCCCCTAAGGGCCTAAGGGGCTTCAGGGCTCGATCTATGCCGCATGTTTATTAGAATATTACATCTTCTCTCCAGTATCTATTTATTTGGTTCTATAGTTAGTGGGGTTAGACTTAGGTGCCCTCGAAGGCACGGGGGGTATCGATAGTATCAGCTTAGTTACTTTTTTCTTTAAATCCGCTTCATTTTCATAGTGAGAAGTTTGAGATATTTTATTTCATCTTTTATTTTTTATTATTTTTCTACATTACCGCAGGGATGGCTTTAGAATCCTAGCGTTACCTTTACTCTTTTTTGCTAACAAGTGTATCATTATACAGCTAACCTTCCAATCCATATTGACTCTCTGTACCCAACAGACATTGTAGCCGATCATCTTATATATACCCATATGATTCTAGTAGGAACCCTAACCTGCTACCACCCTTAGTAGTGATACAACACGCTATTTAGATCCTTTGTTATTCTCAACATCGGATCTATATGATCCATGAGGGCATCTTTTCTTTTGTTGCCATCTTTATTAGGGATTTAATACAACACTTTTTTACAACAGTGGCGTGCTATCACTAATGTAGACATTTGAACTTTATTTGATTCTATTTCTCCTCCTCACTTTTATTATTTAGTAATGCATACCATTGATAGCATTTAGTAGATCTTTGTATCTATTTTTTTCTAGGTAGAATTGTATCATCATATTCTTCCTTATCCTCCTAGCATTTTTGATCGTGCTATATTGAACGTCTCCCCTCCATAGCGCAGACGTGCGCTAGCTGGTATCAGCATTCTCATTAATTTTTCATGATACTGGAGTGAACCTTGTATTTCACAGTGTATCTTTTTTATTTTTATTTTGTGTCTTTTATCAAGTGTTTAGCTGTCATTTAGATACATATTTTATTACTATTTGTCATTATCGAATATACTATTAAATCTTTTTTGTTTTCTGACCTTTAGGTCTTTTTAGCAGTGCTTTAGGCATTAAGAAGTTTAGGCATTAACCTCCTTTCTCCCAGTTGACAGGTACACTACCTTAAAACTTTCTAACGGCACCCAACAGGAGTGTCCCCTTTCTCCCTTACTTTTTATTTTAACCATCGAACCATTAGTGGCTAATATCAGAGACTGTTCAGAGATAAAGGGACTAACATTTGATTTTCCAAGGAAAATCAAATGTTCTTGTGACTATGATAGAACCTTTAAATTCTCTGGAAGTTCTTATGAAAGAAATCAATGAGCTCAGCCAAGTTTCAAATTTTTAAAAACAAAGAAAAAAAGTTACCTGCACTCTCTCATCAGTCCCTATGTATATTTAAACAAATGGAGGTCATTTAATTACTCCAATGGCCCTTGGAGGGAATGCCCGCCTACCAACGCCAAGGCAGACTCCCTTAGACGGGTCCTACACTGACCCTTCACCTTGCTTCCTTGAGCCTCTGGCAAAGATTTCTCTAATGAGACAGAGAGGGGTATTTTTTATACTTATTAACCCTTAATAGGGAGCACATGGGATGGGCGGCAGCATTGTAACCTAGCTGTGTGATACAAAAAGTAAATACAAATACAAAAAGATAAGTCCTGCACTCACTCCCATCACTCCTGGGCAGCAGCAATGACCACAGTACACATCAGCTCCAATACATATAGTAAAAACCAAAGAAAAAAGTTACCTGCGCTCTCTCCTCAGTCCCATTATATATTTAAACAAATGGAGGTCATTTAGTTATTCCAATGGCCACTGGAGGGAATGCCCACCTGCCAACGCCAAGGTAGAACCCCCTAGACGGGTCTGTAATGGACCGTTTTGCACACAAGGGGTAAAAACCGTTTAGGCGATCGTCCCCCTTTCAAGAGATGCAGGCACAGCTATTGTAGAACATCAAACACACGAACCGCCAATAAGTGAATGCTCCAAACTCCCGAACGGCATCCAATATAGCACTCCAAACACACGAACAGGAACCATACGAATCACTGCTAGCAGACGAATAGGAAAAGCATCCAAGCAGCTTACACTCCTAGCAATCAGTCTCTATCAGCATTCAGTAAATCCCCCCAAAGACGAGACAAGGCTCCGTGTTGAGGGTCAAGCAGTGGTCAGTTTAATGAGGGCTACCTGCCCAGTATTTATGCAGGTCTCCCACCTGGTGGACACTCCCCTAGGGGACCAAATGGGAGACTGTGACAAAAGACAGACAAGTTGACAAATAGGACACACAGTCACATTATATTCCCACAATGCATCCTGGCTTCCTCCCCTCTGCCTTGGATATAATTGAGAAGTAATTCAATTATCTCCCAAGACAAAGGCAAATCGCCATTATGCACGTGGGGATACTAAAACACGAATTACTGTTAAAATACACTATGTAATACACATTACAATAAACTTATACATTTAACATGTCCCCAGATAGCTCAGGTCTGAGCGCACATTGTTAAGCGAATGGCACTCAGACCACACGAATACAGTTTAATCGCCATGGAGCTAAAGTCTTTACACAGTCAGTTTCATGCGAATGGGCTCCATGGGATTCCTATCTGGGGTATAACATATTCAAGTAAAACTACCGAACGCTGGGCCGTTTGTGCACTTTCACCGACCAAGAAGGGAGGTCGGCAGCTTCAGCGGTGTTCGCGCAAAACTGTGTCCGATTTCGGTTCCATGAATTAAGCGTCGAACACCGCTGTGCATTCGCATGTTTAAAATGGCCGCGACCTTGTGTTCGGGATACGAATGGTGGCCACCCAGCATTCGTCAATTAAGCTGCGGCTAACCGCAGCTTCAGGAAGGCTAATTGCCGGCACACTCCAGCTCCCAGGTGGTCCAGTCATTCGTGCGGTTGTTCGGTAGATTGAATCTACCAAACACCAGGCAGAAAAGCACGAATAAAGATTTTCTCCAGGCGAAACAAAGTCTTTTAACATGGGGGCCATAGTCCAAAGGCAGCAGGCGAGCAACCAGGCTTCTCCAATGCAATGTGGCGAGATTGGTCTCGTCACAGGGTCCTAAACTGACCCTTCACCTTGCTTCCTTGAGCCTCTGGAAAAGATATCTCTAATGAGAAAGAGAGGGGTATTTTTTTTTTATACACCCCTATATACTTATTAACCCTTAATAGGGAGCACATGGGATGGGTGGTAGCATTGTAACTTAGCTGTGTGATACAAAAAGTGAATACAAATACAAAAAATAAGTCCTGCACTCATTCCTATTACTCTTGGGCGGCAGCAATGACCACAGTACACATCAGCTCCAATACATATAGTAAAAAACAAAGAAAAAAAGTTACTGCGCTCTCCTCAGTCCCTATGTATATTTAAACAAATCAAGGTCATTTAGTTACTCCAATGGCCACTGGATGGAATGCCCACCAAATTTCAAATTTTAAATTAAATATGTTTAAATCTATTATGATGTTAATAAATGTGGATAAACTCCACATTGAGGAGATTTGCTCCAAATATCACTTTTCCTGGGAAAAAAATGTGTTTTGACTATTTGGGTGTTAAAATTGTCAAAGATGTAGAAAGAACAATGGAGATACATTTCCTCCATATATTCAGACAAACTAATGCTAAAATGAAGGAGTGGAGACAAGAGGATATCTCATGGATGGGCAGAATGAATACCATACGTGCATACATTTTACCCAAATGGCAATACCTGTTCCAGATGATTCCCCTAAAAATTCCAAATAGCTGGCTACTGATGATTTAGAATAGCTTTGATACATTCATATGGAAGGGCAAGAGACCAAGAATTAATAGAATGGTGGTAGCAGGAAAAAAAAAAGGGTGGAATCAATATGCCCCTGGTTGGTCATATTTACAAAGCTACCATGATAATGCAAATCTATAGATCACAATTGTTTGGAATCTTGGTGGTGAATCGAATGTAATCTTGCAGGGGTAAAGAATTGGGATATACTGATATGGAATCCGGAAAGAAAGAAAAATAGTGAAAAATGAAATGGGTCATAATAAAACGAAAAAGAAATTTGAAAATGGATAAAACAATCCTACCGTATCTCCAGATAGGCATAAAAAACAATTTATAGAGGATCTTAGCATTAAAACCTGGATCATGGCTGGGATAGGCTATATTAAACAATTGATTCAAGGAAACAATATCAAAACTTTTCCCCAATTACAAGAGGATTTCTTCTTACCAAGCCAAGAATTATTTACCCATCAGAGACTTAAAATTTTTGAAAATATCTATGTTTTGAGACCCTAAATTAGCAGAATAAACAATTGAAAATTTACTATAATTCCATAATTTAGGGGGGAATCCACCCAATGTTTTATTTTTTATTTTTATAAATGCGACATTCAACCTATTATCCCCTATTATTGTCGAAATTTACACAATGCGCTCCGTTTTTGGGTAGAATTTAACCCTTGGCTATTCCGTGACATCCTTCAAAACAATGATCCCTGGAGTCCTGCTTCGATACTGCAACCCTTTGACAACAACTGACATAAAATGTAAACCATCCAATTTATAAGAATTTGAAATCTCTTTCCAGGTTACAAACAAAAAAGTTTGAACGTATCTTCATATTCAACCAGATACATGCAACTTTTTTACCCAGGTAGTGAGGATTGTTGGACAACTGGGGGAGGATATTTACTATAATTTGAAACAATTTCCATAAGAAAAAAGAGATAAGAAAATATCTCTATAAAATAAAGTGCATCTACGTTGTTCTGAGAATAACCGTCGATCAATTTTACTTACCGATAACCATATATGTCAAGATTAATCAACATTTAGTTGCTTTTGAGCAAATCTATTGTTCAAAGAAATAGATCCAACTCAGAATTTAAGATCACTTCAATATTATAAGTTACACATTTTTTAGATATATCATAGAAAACCACCTATACCTTTTAGGATTAGAATGGTATATAGTACAAAAGGAGTAGCTTCTGCAATGCATTGAAAATAACTCCCGTTCAATATTGCACACCATGGAATTACACATTGTTTAAGTAGATCGTAGAAATGCACCCATGCCTTTTAGGATTAGCACCTATGCCTTT